ATACGTTGGTGTTGGTTCATACAACAAAAACTAAATAAGCTAGATAAAGAACTAATATATTTCTTCTTATTCTTAAATTCTGTTTGCCAACTTGGTAAACAAATAAATTGTGGACATGCATCTCCCTCAGTCATGGTATTTCCCTTTCTCCCCTGCTTCTTTTGTTCTCCCCTCCATAGGAGCTCTTCCTCCTGTCCTCCCGGACCAGCCTACCTACATCTCTTTGTGGCCTTTTTTCTCTTGGCCTCTTTCCTTTCCCTTGGTTGCTCAGACAGACTGTCTCCCAGACCCCTTCTTGCTCTAATGCGTTTAATGAAGAAAAGACTCAGGTGTGACACCAGCCACTGGGGTAGGCAAGAATTACAGGCCTCCTGTGGTCCCTCATGGGCTACAGAGATTGAAATATTACTGCTTTTTATTTCTTTTTTAATGGAGAAAATGTGTGAAAGTCAGAAACAGAAATTGGATATTGGATTTCACAAATCCTTTTCCTTCTTTGCCCTTCTGACCTTGGTAAGTCACTTAAACTCCTGATGTCCTTCCGTTTTTGCAGTACTTACAAAGTGTACTGCCCTGGGGATGCAGCTTGGCCCCTGTGCTTATTTTACACATGTCAGGAAAAGCTGAAATGTCTTTGGGTCAACAGTAAAGGGATAGCTTTGAGAGGAGGACTTTAATTTTCCCCCTTCGCCCACAGATGTGGTGGAAAACACTGTCAGCACTGGCCACAAAAACTAGCCGTATAAATAAGTGTGCATTTATGTAAATATGTATATGTATAATCATACATTCTATATATAAATAATGGCAGAGTTCTAGTACATGGCTGATCTTAGATGGAGCCTAAAACCCTAAGGGGAAACTTCCTTATCAACGCAATAGTAATAAACTGACTGGCCAGACACTAAAAATATGTGGAGGTAGATTTCAGTATTGAAGAAGAGCTCAGATGAAAGGACCAACCAGTCACCCTTGCCCAACCCCTTGCTGAAGTCACCTTCCCAGCATATTCACACGTGAATTGCTAGACAGCTGTGAGGCTGAACCCGCTACAACTGCGCGTAATGTGGATGAACCTCGCAAACACGTTAAGCACTGGAGGCCAGACCCAACAGAGCACATCCTATGTGATTCCATTAACGCAAAACTGGGAAAACTCATCTCTGGCACTAAAAGTTGGGATAGTGATGGCCCTTGAGGGCAGGATTGTAGCTGGGAGGAGGGAGTGTGAGGAGGGATGCTTGGTGGCTGGAAATGTATGTTGTCTAGATGCTGATCACATAGGGGTGTCCACTGTGTGAAAACAAATTAGGCTGTACACTTATGTACAGTTTTCTGTATATATACTGCAATTGGAAAAAAGTCATCAAGATCAATCATCAAGGTTTCTTCTAAGTGCTTTTCCCAAGCTTAGCACTGTGCCAGGGATGATAGGGAACTGCAAACAAGGAGACATTGTGACGTCGAGAATCTTCTGGAATCTTATTTCTGTCTTCTTCCATCCTCAGCCCTAGCCCTAGTCGTTTGCTTTTGTCATTTACCAGGAAGTATGTGCTCAGCCCACTTCAAACATGTGGTTCTGCCCACAGCCACCAAGGTCACGTTTCACTTTCTATACTTTAGAGCACTTCGAAGCCACTGCAAAAAACACTTTGTAATCAAATCATTTCTTTGCACCAAGGAAGCAATCTATTTAAAGAAAGCCAAGGCTGCCCAATTCTGCTGCTAAGCGAAGATTTGTTTTGCAAAGTAAAAAACGCTTCTGAATGTTTAGAATTAGATCAGATCTTTCCATCTTGAGTTTTCATCAAGACATGCTAATGAGTTTATTTAAAGAAAAAGGCGTTATCTGTAGTTGTTTTACTGTGCTCTTTTTATGGTGGCGTTCTGGCAGAGAAGGTGCGTCAAATATTTCTCTTTTTCTTTTAAACTTTTAACTTTCGCTTCTTATTATACTCTTCAGGGGTTTTTTGGCCCTTTAAGGGACCCAACTTTGTGAGCTAATTATGACAAATGTTGATACAACATCTGTTCCAAGATTTAAATGACCTTCTATTCTGCCAGAATTCGTCTTGAAGACAGATTTGTCATGAACACTTGTCTGCACGTTAATGCAACCTAGTGGAGACCTAAAGCAGAAGCTGTCGAGGAGCTGCTGGGTGACGCCGGCCCGGCTGCTCCGGCTCTGTTTGCTCGTTATACTGTCGGGGAGCTGTGGTTCTCCACAAGGTGTGCACGCAGCTCACCTTCCTCATCCTAAGTTATCTCACTCCTGATCTTCCAGAAGCAATCACTTGTGCATGTGTGTTCATTAGGAGCACTGGTTGGTTGGGTGTAGTCTATGGCCCTGGTGGGAACCGTGCTGGGCGGAATTCAGGTTCCTCTAAAAGTTGATATTCTCTGATTCCTTCCCCAGAGAGTGCCCTTTTGCCTCTCTGAGGCCAGTAAGTAGAAGGATTAAGATCTTTATTTTTTAGCAGTTGGTTTTGGCACCTTCCAGTTGAGAGCTGTTTTAATTTCAATTCCTTTCTTTAGAGGCTACCTTGAGACCAGTAAGTTAGGAATATTGAACAAAGAAAACAGAGTCTGAATTAAGGATACTTGTTTTCAACTCTTCCCTCTTGGTTGATGGCCTTGCTACTGGGAGCAAGTTGTATCACCTCTCCCAGCAACAGTTTTCTCACCCGAAAATGGGTATTTCAATAATGATAACACGTAATTTTAGGCAGAGTATTATGATAACATAAAATTAAGTGAATTAGGAAACCTTTGGGGGTGATTAAAATGTGTGTTATCTTGATTTGGTGGTTGTCTCACGTGTATACCTGTCTAGGTGGTGGTCTCACAGGTGTATACATGATTTGATGGGGATCTCATAGGTGTATACAAGATTCATCATATTATACATTTAAAGAATGTGCAGTGTAGCACTATGCACAATAGCCAAAAGATGGAAGCAGTCTAAATGTCTATCAGCAGATGTATGGATTAAAAAAAGTGGTATATACATACAATGGAATATTACTTGGCCATGAAGAGAAATGAAGTCCTGATACATGCTACGGCATAGATGAACCTTGAAAACATTATGCTGAGTGAAGTCAGTCAGTCACAAAAGGACAGATATTGTATGATCTCACTTACATGAATTATCTAAAATAGGCAAATGTATAGAGAACAAAGTTTATTAGTGGTTACTAGGCATGGAAGGGAGGGGAAAGGCAGAGTCACTGTTTAGGAAGCATTGACTTTCTGTTTAGGATGATAGCAAATTTGGCAATGGATATTGGTAATGATTACACAACATGATCAATGTAATTGCTGTCACTAAATTGTATACGTGAAAAACATTTACTTGGCAAATGAGGTTGTGTTTTATATATATATTATATATTTACAGCAAAAAAAGCTGAAAAAAGATTGTACAGTTTATTGTTCCTCAGTTTTACTTCCATAAAGTTGTGAAAAATGAGTTGTGTTAGAAGACTTTTAGAAACTGTAAGTTACTGCGCAGATGTTAATTATAAGTATAAAGTAGCTAACAAATTTTCCTTGAGTGCCTACTTTCAGAAGTAAATTTCAAGTTGACAATTCACGGAGGTCACTAGATTCTACTCCGTCTAGGCCAGGCCTTCTTTGACATTTGGGGCTGGCTAATTCTTGTGGTGGTGGGCTGTCCGGTGCATTGCAGGATGTTAGCAGCGTCTCTGGCCTCCACCCACTAGATGCAAGTCGTGACCATCCAGAGCATCTCCAGACCTTGCTAAGTATCTCCTGAGGGGCAGAACTGCTGCCTGTGGGGAGCCACTGCTTGAGGAATAGGCTGTGTTTCTTCGACAGTTTTGTTCTTCTTACTTCAAGTCCATAATTATTTTGTTTAAGTTTGTGACAGGATTGTTTATATTTTTTACACAAGCTGAAACATTAATAAAGGTTTAGGCCTAACCCAGCCACCCCATTCCCCCCGTTTTCTGTTAGAGTGAAGAGTTGCTTGACCTGAAATACAGGAACTACTTTTGCGTGTCTTTCCTTGAACACACCCTGCCCAGCACCAGCCTCTGATTTCGTCCTCATCATCTGGGATCCTAGTTTCCGACGGGCCTTGCTCCTTCAGTGCCAGAAAAGGGTGCAGCGTTGTCACAAACACATGCGGGGGGTGGGCGGATGCAGGGGTTCAGAGAAGTTAATTTTAGTATTAAGAATTTCTTTTCATTGTTAATTATACAGTTTGCAAAATGATCTGTAAATATTAGTACTTGGAACCAACCTTCTTATGCCCAGTATTTCTTTTCCTTTAGTTTCTGAGAAGGCTTCAAGGCTGATCCTGACTGTGTAATTTAAAAATGCTAATAAGCAGCACATTTAACATTGTACAGATGGCTAGCCTTTTTTTTTGTTTTTTTGTTTTCTTCTTTTAATCATGTTTATCTTTAATAAGTAAGTTGGGAAAAATGACTTTTTGAAAATAGGATTTTAATTGGTGACACGGTTGCTGAAAAGCAGGCCCCCCTTGCTAGGCCCCATTGGCATTTCCCTGGGTGCAGTCTGCCTGTTGGCCTGAGGTGGTGCTGCTGTGAATCAGAGCCCAGAACCACAGAAATCTCCCATCTGTGTTTGTATAGGGGATCCTGGTGGCGCAGTGATTAAGAGTTCGGCTGCTAACCCAAAGGTCGGTAGTTTGAATCCACCAGGTGCTACTTGGAAACCCTATGGGGCAGTTCTGCTCTGTCCTGTAGGGTGGCAGTGAGTCGGAATCGACTCGACGGTGGTGGGTTTGGTATTTTTGGTGTTTTTATACAGTGACTATATTTCTCTGTTGGTGTAATGATAACTAAGACAGCCGATGGCTAAGGCGGAGGAGGTTCCCAGTGTGCCATTTTAAACGACAGTGATTGCTCTTTCAAGGTGGATGGGAAGTTGTTTCTGGACATCTCTTCCTCTCTCCTTGACTCCACCCCACAGTGTCTTGACCGTGTTTTTAACTCTTGTCTCTCCCTCAGAAATACCTCAGGAACTTTTTCAGCGTGATGCTTCAATCTGCAACATCTCCCCTGCACATCAGCAAAGTGGGGCTGACTCTGTCAAAACACACTATTTGTGAGTTCTCGCCGTTCTTCAAGAAAGGAGTCTTCGACTACAGCAGCCATGGGACAGGGTAGTGGGAGCGACAGAGAACCACAAACGCAGTGCCTTCTCGTCGAGGCAGGCCTCCCCGGTGCAAGGCCACCTCCCACGCAGGGCCCAGCAGCCACAGCAGCTGACCTGTCCCTTGTCCTGTGTTCCATACCAGGTGCCTCAGGGAATGGGAGGCTTCACCTGCTGGTAGGGACCCTGACAGGCATCTGTCACTGTTCCATTGCCATTAAACATGGCCTTTTCCCATAGTGCTTCCTTGTCTTTGCGCAGTGGAGTCCGTCCCCTGTGGCAGAATAACGTGGATTATCTCCAGGGCTCCCCAAGCCAAACCGACCTGGGCCCTCCAAAGCAGATGGCTTACCAGACTACCCTTAGAGGACTTTCATCTGGTTTCCTCTGTCACCAAAATACACTTTTACTTTTGACAGTCCTTCCACGTAGCTGGCTGTATCTCAACAAAAGCATTTTAAATTATTTCATTGTATTTTTTCTTTTTTCTCTTGTTCGAATCAGAACTTTTGTATAATACCTAAACAATGATGTTTACACAGAATTTCATATTCTGCGAAAGGGATTTTCAATCCAGTCATGACTGGAGTCTTCCATGCTTGACCAATTGGATATAGGCAACATCTCTAAAACTTCTTTAAATCCATACAAATAGGATATTTGTTTAATCCTGAATATTTGAGAACGTTTTCTTGAATGTAAATTGGCTACTGTGCATTCTCCAGCTTCCTCTGCTAAGCACAAAATGAGCGCGTAGCTGAGTGCATATTTTTAAACATTATTTTGTTCACATTTTTGCTACAGAATCTACTGAATCTTTAGTTGAAAAACTAGAATTTATAATAACTCATTAATGATCCCTTAAATTACTCAGGACTTAATGTAGCATTGCACATCTATGTACAGTAAAATGGCTTTGTTTTACTAAAGAGAAAAATGTCAGTAGAAAAAATATATATATATGTGGTATATGTTGAAATGTATATAATTCTATCTATAGATTTATATATGTGCATTCTTCTGTACAGTGTTGTATCAAAATATATAATCATTCACACCAAATTTATTAAAGGTATTTACTTTTTCAAAATTTAAATTGAGCTACTGTCAGTGTTAAATGAAGTTATGGAATCCACCCTGTAGCTCAGTTTACGTTTGTGACATGATCATTCTTATTGGCCTGCTTAAAAATTGATCTCATGTTGGAAAGATACATTATATATAATTAGCATTGGTGTTGCAGAAAGTACAGTCCCTGTAATGATTGAAGTCAATAATGAATGGGTCACAAAATGTGTTCGCCTTCTGTCTTTTAAAATATGCCTCGGCAGCAAAGCTCCGCAATCTGAAAAATATATTTAAAGATGCAATTATCCTTCTAAGGAGGAAATCTATTGCACTAATTGTCATAGCTTAGCATGAAAAAAATTGGGAAATTTTTTTTTTTTAATTACTGCAGAAAGATCTGCTTTTGTCTGCAGTTGAGATCACAGGCATAGGTTTAGGGGTAGTTACTACAAGAGAATTTAAACCTAGAGATTGAGGGATAAATGCTTGGGAGATAATAATTAACCAAAGATCATTTTTTTAAAAGGAGTCAAAGCTCTAAAAATTATCCATTATTTGTTGAATAAAGTAAATGGTTTTCTTCAGCTGACCAGAGAATCTTATTTCCTGCCCTTTTGGACCTGTATCCAAGCCTGGGCTCATGGCAAGTGCCTTGTTAAAATCACACAGGATACAGTAGTAACTTGGCGAGAAGAGATGGACATGTGTTAGTAAAAAGTGGAGAAATCAGAAGATTCTTCAGTTCTGTGTTACTTCCCTGGGGCTGCCATGACAAAAATACCACAAAGTGGGTGGGTGGCTTTAAACAACAGAAAGGTATTGTCTCGTGGTTCTGGAGGCCACTAGTCTGAATTCCGGGTGTCAGCAGGGCCATGTCTTCCCCACAGGCTACAGGGAAAGAGCCTTTCTAGTCTCTCTCAGCTTCTGGTAGCCCCAAGTGTTCGTTCCTTGGCCTGCAGCTGAAGCATAACTCAGTGGTCACATGGCCATCCTTTACAGGGCACCATTTAGACTGAATTAGGACCCACCGTAATCTTTTTATAACCTGCTATAAACTCATGTCAGCAACAACATCTTCAAAGCTTCTGTTTCCAAACAAGCCAGGGGTTAAGACTTCACCATATCTTTTGGGGGGACATAATTCAATCCATAACAGTTCCAACTCTCATCCTATGTAATTCTGGTTGAGTTTGGAACTCTAGTACTAGCTGGCTCTGGCTAAAGCCACCTATAACATAAGGTGAGTCATTTTACCTCGCTAGCCTCAGTCTCCTCATCTGAAAAGGAAGCTGGTAGATGGTCTCTAGGTTTCATCCTAGCCCCTGGTCATAGCAGAGGAATAAGCTATTTCAGTTGGGTCACTTGTAGCCCCTGGTGCGTAGCATAGGAAATACAACCTTCCAACCTGACATAAAGGGCTTTTAATCTGAACAAAACACAAGCTAATGTTGAAAAGCAAAGGAAAAGTCTCATGTAAACAAATAATGGAATTCCTCTCTGGAAGGAATTAACACAGAAGATAGAGTCTGGATGACAAAATTGAGGCTTTGTTAACTTGGGCTAATTGACTTTCCAGTGCATCAGGTGACAGTAATGCTAAACAGATCCCTTTAGGCAATTCAGATTGATGTGCTATCAACTGATATTTCTGTAGTTATATGAACAAATCTAAGGAATTTACACAGAATTTCCTGTTTAAGTGGTTTTAGCATTCCTTTCTAGGTCTTGCTTACACAATAAGTGTGTGTACTAAGGGTTTTCATAATCACAAGTAGTATAGAGAATTTGATATTTCTGAATTTAAAAGATTCAAATTCAACTCTGATTCATTTAGACATGTGAACAGGGCGTAATCAAGTCATGCTGGCTTCCCAGTGGCTGACATCTAGAACATTCTCTGGCCCATGATGTGGAGATGTTTGAGGATACATGAATAGGGCACCCGGGCCACTCCTATTTACATTTTAAGCAGAAAGAGCTTGTTCTGCTTAGCTGCCCCTGCCGAGCCACTGAGAGCTCTAGATGCACACGGTTGGGAGTGTGGTAGAAGCCCCCAGAAGGGCGTGCTTTCACAGCTTAGAATAGCCCACGAACTTGGAGATGTGGGCTCACTCTGAGGAGGTATAGTTCCTAGCCTTAGAGCTGAGTATTTTGGTGTTTTAGTTCAACACTTAATGAAGAGGTGTTTTTTTTGGACACAGGTCTGCCAGCATGCAGTCACATGCAGGCCCTGCCTCGCTTGCCTCCTCACACATTCCCTCTTAGGTATACAGTTCTGTTGTGATGGGGCTCATTATCCCTTATATTCAGAGCTTACCACCGGGCAGGACTGGTCCCCTAAAAGAGGACCCAGGTAACAATTCAAGCCTGATTCATGGGAGGTAATATTCAGTTACGTCCTGCTTCAAACAGTACTGTGAGAAAGAGGTTTTATAATACACTTCTTTGGCAAATGCTTAAATTGATGCCTTGAGGTGTCATCAGCTCAGAATTGGAAATTTCTACCACGAGACCCTTATCCTCTTGGATATTGTTATTGGAAAGGTCTCCTCTTCTTCTCCTCCTCCTGTAATGTAATTTAGGTATAAGTAACTCCTGGCAAAACTAACACTTCAGTTTTATTTAAATTATCATGACAGGTGATCTATGTTTTGGGAAAACTAATTAAAGACCACTAATCTAAGGAGACTCATTCTTGACAAATTTATCCTTATGTATTCCTTTTAACAGGCTGTTTCTCCTTTCTTTTATTTCTGTTGAAGGTGCTTTTTCTGATGACAATTCATTAGATGGAAAATGATTCTATGGTGCTCAAATTTGAATTTCATACATATCGAATTATTTCCAAGTTGAAACAAATCCATCCTTGCATCCTATTTCAAATTGATACTGCAGTAGTGCCTGGGAGTGAATGAGAGGCGTGATGTTGGTGTTGGCCAAGTTGTTACCTTCAGAATGATTCTTTATCTGAGGATCCAGTAGAACCCTGTTACATTTTAGAATAATGGAAGGGACAGGTAGGCAGATGACTGAACTGAAGGGGTTCAAGGATGTGAGTTCATCGTTGTTACATACAAATAACATCGTCATGCATTTATCACTGTGGAACTCCTGATACTAGTCTCTGGCACTGTCTCCTAAGGTTACCCTGTGCCTTTCTAGATGGTTCTCACAACTAGGCATCTCTTGTAAAATGACTAAATGCAAAATATCTTTTCTTTGACTGTATTCATTTGATATTCCTTTATTTGAAAATTAAATAATGTGTTTTTTTTCCTAAGGATTACCTCTTCAAAAATTGACTTTTCTGTGGGAATTTGAGATTCCTCCATTTGGTTTTGCCCCTTCTCCGTTGATGGTCAGAATCTTCCCCAGTCAGAGAAAAATGTACGCATTTGCAAAAAGATGCACAAGTCATCTCTACTTAGTCATTGAAGACGGATGTCTTAGTCATCTACTGCTACTATAACAGAAATACCACAAGTGGATGGCTTTAACAAACAGAAGTTTACTGTCTCACAATCCAGTAGGCCAGAAGTCCGAATTCAGGGCACCAGCTCCAGGGGAAGGCTTTCGCTGTCTGTCAGCTCTGGAGGAAGGTTCTTGACATTAATCTTCCCCTGGTCTAGGAGCTTCTCAGGCACAGGGACCCCAGGTCCAAAGGATGCACTTTGCTTCTGGAGCTGCTTTCTTGGTGGTTTGAGGTCCTCAGGTGTCTCTGCTCGCTTCTGTCTTTTATATCTCAAAAGAGATTGCCTCAAGACACAATCTAATCTTGTAGATTGAGTCCTGCCTTATTAACATAACTACCACTAATCCTATTTCATTAACATCATAGAGATAGGATTTACAACACTTAGGAAAATCACATCATGGAGGTGATCACATTATATCAGTTCTCATCATGGAAGTGATCACATCAGATGACAGAATAGTGGACAATCACACAGTACCGGGAATCATGGCCTAGCCAAATTGACACACATTTTTGGGGGACACAATTCAATCCATAACAATGGGGGAAGTGCCCAGGTACACAATTGGAAATGAATATTAGAAAAATGCATCCCCAAAGGAGAAAAGCCCCAGAGGTTTAGAACTAAAGGGCTGTTTGGTACCATTAAGGCAGGTCGCCAGAAAGAGGGAAACCTTTCTCCAAAATTTAAATCTGGAGAAAGCATAGGAAAAAAATTTTAAGCATCTTTACTACTTGAAAGCAGAATTATTTCCCTCAAGGTGTCACAAATCCTTATGCACAGTTAATATTTGCATAAGTTTTTGTGTCTTTCCAAGAGCACTTACAGTTGTGCCTGAGAGTTTCTCACTCAAGAACAGCCTGAGGGTTTGCTATTCCTGAGTCGCCTTCAAGGGAGGAAAGAAGGAAAGAAGAGGGGAGGGAGGCCTGGTCGCAGATGCTTTCCAAAGCTAGCCAGGAATGTCTTCAGAGAGAAAATCACAGTAAACAATAACAGTTTGTGGTGATTGAGTTTTTGAATATTTGCACTTGGTCCATTTCCAAACTCCTTTAGCTTTTCTCCCAAAAACAGAAGCTGGAAGTCAGGGAAGAGGAGGGAGTGGTCTGCTGTCATAAATGACTTTTCTCATGTGGTGTTATAAGCCCTAATTTTGATGAATGTCATAAGAAAAGTTGATCCACAGAAGCTATGAGTCTTCAGTTGCAGACTAGCTTTAAAATGCTGGCTAGTTGTCCTTTAAGGAGCCCTGGTGACACGAAGGTTAAGCACTTGGCTACTAACAGAAATGTTGGCAGTTCGAACCCACCCAGCAGCATCATGGGAGAAAGAAATGGCGATCTGCTCTCATGAAGATTACAGCCAAGAAAACCCTGTGGGGCAGTTCTACTCTGTTACATGGGGTCACTATGAGTCAAAAACAACTCGACAGTACCTAACAACAACAATTGTCCTTTACAACTGCACCATAGGTCCTGTTCGCATTTGTATCAGGTTTTCAATTCCTTCTAACAAAAGAGCAGCGGTCCCCATGCACCCGGGCCTGGTGTAGATCTTTTTTAGTACTAATGAGCTCTTGCCAGAGGATGCCAGTCTCCTTCAGGATCTGGAGCATGGATTGCTCTTGGTTGACGCCTCATTTGAAGAGCTTGCTGTCTCTTGGGTTTGCTGTCCCTGTTGCCCAGGTGTTCACGTCTGACCACCCCACCTGGCACACAGCCCCTTGTTGGCACATAGTTTATGCTAAACTGTGCCATTTGTATCCCACTGGCCCCACTCTTATTTTGTATCCCTTGGAGCCTGGGGGAAGGTGGGGGGAAGCACAGTGAAATGAGCAAGGTATTTAAAGTCATAGCAATACCCCACTACTGCTCTTGCACTGAGGTTTGCAAAGAGTCAGACCAACTTCTGGCCATTCTGGAACTCCTGACCACATGCTTAGTGTCAAGGGCCTAGCAGAGAGCATGCACAGAGAATGTGTGAGTAAACTGGCTTCTCATTCCTTGAGGTTAGAGGACGGGTCTGCTCGTTATTGAGATCCTACAACTCATTCATCCTTCAGTCATTCAACAAATGTGATAGGGCATCTGCTACACCTAGCACTGGGCAACATGCGAGCCATGATTAACCTGGGAAGGTTGGAGGTGGCCCTAAGCAACTGAGTAGGGGTAAGTGCTTAGGGTGCAGGGAAGTTGCTCCAAATTGAGAAAAGAGTGTGCGCAACAGAAAAAGCTGTCATAGCTCTGACATGGAGAGAACAACAGGGAGAGTGATGGGTTGCAGAGATTAGACAGAGGTTAGCTAAATAGCACCAGAAAGGTTCCTCCCAGAATTTTGTAAATGGGATAATGTGTATTCCCACGGGGGAAGAGTTGGGCACATGCTGGCTAGGGCTTCTGTAAAATCACATGTATTAGGCAGAAACACACACACAAAAAAGGTGGTCATTGACTTGTTTCTGACTCATGGCAACCCCGTGTGTTGCAGAGAACTGTGCTGCATAGGGTTTTCATGGCTGTGACTGTTTAGAAATAGATCATCAGGCCTTTTTTCCAAGGTGGACTTGAACCTCCAACCTTTTGGTTAGTAGCCAAACAACCATTTACACCACCCAGGGACTCCAAATAGGGAGAAAAGAGTTACCTCATTACATATTAACAACAAGGAACACGCTCAGGGACCCGGAGTATTATCCAGGCCACCTAGAGGCTAGCCTTCTCTGCTCTTGGACGTTTGAGGTTTCCAGATTTCACAGCTTCTTGCAGTGAAGAAGCATGACATCTGCATACTTAAGCCTAGGATCATTCGAAAGCGGTTACAGCAGTACATCAACAGGGAACTGCCAGAAATTAAAGCCAGATTCAGAAAGTATGTGGAACCGGGGTTATCATTGCTGATTTCAGATGGATTCTGGCTGAAAGTAGAGAGTACCAGAAAGATGTTTACCTTTGTTTTATTGACTATGGAAAGGCCTTCAACCGTGTGGATCATAACAAATTATGGATAACATTGCGAAGAATGGGAATTCCAGAACACTTAATTGTGCTCATGAGGAACCTGTACGTAGACCAAGCGGCAGTCATTGAAACAGAACAAGGGGATACCGCATGGTTTAAAGTCAAGAAAGGTGGGCATCAGGGTTGCATCATTTCACCATACCTGTTCAATCCATATGCTCAGCAAATAATCCTAGAAGCTGGAGTATATGAAGAAGAATGCAGCATCAAGATTGGAGGAAGACTCATTAACAACCTGCGATATGCAGATAACACAGCCTTGCTTGCTGAAAGTGAAGAGGACTTGAAGCACTTACTGATGTAGATCAAAGACTGCAGCCTTCAGTATGGATTACACTTCAACATAAAGAAAACAAAAATCCGGGGTGGGACCAAGGTGGCGGAGTAGTCAGACACTTCCAGTGGACCCTCTTACAATGAAGACCTGAAAAAACAAGTGAATTGATTATGTATGGCAATCTGGAAGACCTGAACATCAAAGGCAGAGTTGAGGAACTGGACTGAGTGGCAGGGGGAGGGAGAGACAGTTCGGAAGCAGTGAGGAGTTGCCAGACCTGACCCTGCGAGAGCCTGAGCCCTTCAGGCCTGAACAGCTTGGGGGTGACCAGTGAGGCAGGCAAGCGGCGGTGCTCAGGAGGTGCGTTTTCTGCACCAGAAGAGACCCCGTGCCAGAGAGTCTACACGGCCACCCAGAACCAGTGAGAAGCAGCACTGGATCGGCGAAAGTTAAGTAATTGCATATGGCCTACTGCACGGATCAAAAACACCCCCCTTAGGGAAAACTTCTCTCCTATTTACCTCTCTGCTCCCTGCTCTGCACTGGGTCCTGGACCAGCTTCAGCAATTGCCGAGTCCCCTGGACTGGAAGTAGGATCCATCACATGCCCAGAGCCATTCTCCCTGCCTTGGAGAGTCAACAAATTAACAGAGGAAAAAATAAACTGCCGACTCCCCTAAGTCAGGAACTGAGGGTAGGCACAGTTCCTTTGGCTGGGCACAGGCATAAGGGATCCACGGACTTTGAGTGCCTTTCCCCCTGCATAGACTTTTGTGGGCCCATTTCAACAGCGTAGGCCCTTATTACCGCAGTACAACAGGGTATATACCTGAAGTCTAACTTCAGCTGTTTCAGCTGTGAAGTGGCAGGTTCATGACATTTGACACTGCTCTGCCCATTAAGCAGGGTCTTCACCTACCCACGTCAGGGGCCTGAGGACTGGTGGCTCCACCCATGCCACCTAGCCACCTGTGATAGGGACCCAAGAATAAGAGGTGCCCCCCAGTCCTTACAGCCAACAGCATTAGGTGCTCATAGTCCAGCTGCAAAACCCACCCACCTACGCGCTCTAGAGAACAGGGACACGCCTTCCTCCTGAACACTCAGGGGCAACCGTCAGCCCCCTGCCTTGCTCAGAGTGTGTCGCCCTGCTGCAGCCAGATGCCTCTGCCTACACCAATCACCCATGCCTGTCTAGGGCTGTAGGTGAGAGCCTGCGCTACACACTTGGTGGCTATCTACCTGGGCATCTGAGCTGAATCCATACAGGAGGATTTGGCAGACTCCTGAGCTCACATACAGAGTAACAGATCTAACCACCGGGTGACAGGACATTGGAGCTTCAAAGTTGCCAATAACAAAACTAGCTCATACGAGCAGCCTATTTGGGCATATCAAAACAAAAACAGAAGCTAGGACACAGTAAGCAAACATTAAATAAATACAATAACTTACTGATGGCCTGGAGACAACAGTCAATATCAATTCACATGAAGAGGCAATCCATGATGGCTTCAGCAAGCTCCCAAAATAATAGAATCTAGAAATTTTCCAGAGGAGGAAAATTTCTTGGAATTACCAGAGGCAGAATACAAAAGATTAATATACAGAACACTTCAAGAAGTTAGGAAGGAAATTAAGCAAAACACAGAACATGCAATAGAGGAAATTAAAAACATTAGATAAGAGCATAATGACAAATTTAACGGGCTGCAAGAATCCATAGAGAGACAGCAACCAGAAACCTGGAAGATTAACAA